AATGTCACCCAGCCCTTTACAGAACACAGCGGCCAACTCCCGCACGCGCCATCAACTCTGTCTCACCGACTACCAAAGGCACGAAGTAGAGACAAGAAAAGGGGTGAGCATGCTGTAGATTAAAGAACTTAAGAGCCTGAGCAACCAACCTCAATGTGAGGAACTTGCTGGGTTTGGATTCAAGCCGATCAGAGGGCATTTGGGGGGAGGCTGGGATGTCTGGACTTCGTCCATCCCTGCTGCTATAACAAAAATGACCTCTGAGGGGGTAATTCACGGCAGCGGCAATGAACTGCTCACAGCCCTGGAGATGCAAAGTCCAAGATCAAGGAGCCGCGGATTCAGCGTCAGGGAGGCCCTGTCTCTGCGTCAGACGCAGTGCCTTGAATGCCGCGTCCTCGCTCGGCAGAGGGGACGAGCTTCCTCAGGCCTCTTTCATGAGGTCCCTTGGCCCTCGCCTGAGAGCAGAGCCTCGTGTCCTGTCACCTCCCAAAAGCCCCTCCTCTGAAAACCACCACGCTGTGCACTACGCTGCAACATTCACATCACGGCACGGGCACCGGCAGTGTCGCCGGGTCGGGGCTTGCCCTGGGCAGAGGCGGGCAAATGTTTGCTGCCCGAGTGAATGTCCGTGTGGCCAGGACCCCTCGTGAGGGCCTCGGCCACCCTGGGCTGTGCCACGTGGCGCCGCTTTGCACTCGGGAAGCAAGGTCTTAGTGACAGGACGCCCCCAGGTGGGCAGGGCAGCCCCCTGCCCCGAGCAGGCCCCTCGGCTGGAAGGGACAGCCACCCAGGGCATCGTTCTCCTCTGACAGTCCCATGCGGGGCTGCCTGGGGGCTTGGAGACAGCCCCCCCACCAGGATGGGTGGGCAGGGCCGCAGGGAGCCCGACTCACACACACCCACACGGGGTGGAGGAAGGACGGACGTCCCAGGCCAGCACACCACCCCCAGCTTGGTTCCCAAAGAGCCAGATGCAGGAGCCTCACCAAAGCTGAAGGTGGACTCTGAAGCCCAGGCCCAGAGAGGAATTCTGACCGTCCAGAGCCCGGCGTCCTGCCAGCCTCTCCTGCCCAGAGGAGGCCCCACACCCAGGGCACCCTCAAAAGGCGCCAGCCTTCCCCAGGGCACATCCGGGAATGAGACCGACAGGACCAGCCAGGCGGCACCCCCACCCGATGACACGCGTGTGGCGGTGGGTGCTCAGCCCCCTGTCCACACAAGGCACCTTCCTGCCCAGCACTTTGAGGGGGTGACAAAAGCCTAACCCTCCCGTCAGAAACCAGGATGTGTGAGGGGCAGGGCCCCAGCCTGCGCACACACTCTCGTCCCCCACGCGCCCCCCGGGAGGCCCAGAGCCCCCCTGTGGGTCCATGGCGGCCTCCTCCCCGGGGCGTCCTGCATTGGCGGGCAGCGCCCTCCCAGCGCCCCACGCACCTGCAGCATGAGCTCGCACTCCTCGCGCCCCACGAAGATGAGCTCTCGCGGGAGCCGGTGGCGTGCGCCGCTGCTGCTCACCAGGAACCAGGACGTGACGCTCATCTTGGCGCTGGCCAGGCCCCACGGCCCTGCGGGGAGAGGGGGTGGTCAGCGTGGGGCTCCCCGGCTTGGGCTGCGGCCCCTGGACACGGCAGAGGCCCAGCCCCGATCCCGCACCCCAGAGGCACGCTGGCCACTCTGCAAACACTGGGCTCCAGGCACGCCAGGCCACCCACCCTCCCTGGAGTGTGGCCCGAGTCCCACTGTCGGCCGTGCCCTGCCTCCCCCGCCACGTCCAACCACGGACGCCTCCCCACCCCGGCCAAGGCCAGCCAGTCCTCCCGTGTCCTCTAAGACCGCCACACCTAATCCCTTCCCTCTCCTGGGGGTCCGGGGCCAAGGTTCAGGGGACATTGGATGCACTGCCTGTGTGTGGACCCCACATCCACATGACCCCCTAGGAGTAGCTCATGGGTGGGACCCCACGTGGCCCATCAGGACCCCACAATGCCAGGTCCAGCCACAGCCCAGGACACAAACCCTGAACCAGAGGACCTACTCCCCCCAGCAGGACTCGCTGGGACTGAGCCCCAGGCAGGGGCCCTGGGAGTGGGGTGCAGCAGGAACAGAGCTGGAGCCGGGCCCTGGGCCATCAGTACGCCCAGCCCCAAGAGGACATAAACATCCCTTGGTGGTCACTGTGCAAAGACAGCAACAGGCAGCTCTGTGGGGGCCCGGGAGGGGGGTGGGGCCTTTGGTGCCTGTGGTCCCAGGATCATCGGCAAAGGTGGGTTTGAGGGACTGGTGTGGGCAGCACAGGCAGGGAGCAGCACAGCAGCATGAGGGGCACGGTGGGGGCAGCCAGTGTGCACAGACCACACTCTCACAGCACTCTGCACGCTCCGAGCACACAGCCGCGTGGCCCCCGGCCGCTCTGCCCTGCTGGCACACCACGGACACACACAGTCTGCACTGCTATGTGCCAGGCGCTGGCCTGGGCTGAGACAGCGCGACCAAGACGCTCAGAGTCCCCACACCTCGGGGCTCCCCTCCAGCTGGGAAGCAGGCAGCAGAGAAGGCAAGTAGCTCGTGAGAAGGTGTGAGAAGGTGTGACGAGTGACACAGAGAATGGGGAAGCAGGGGCGGACGCTGTGCTGCGCGGGGTTTGGGGAAGGTGTTTGGGAAGGCTCACTGAGAAGGCGGCATCTGGGCACGGCCAGCAGGGGCAGAGGCGAGCACGTGAGCATCTGGGGGACCACATTCCAGGCAGAGGGAGCAGCCAGTGCACAGGCCTGGGACCGCAGAGGGACGGAGGCCTGCCTCCATGCCTCCCGGAGGCCCGAGGCTCGTCCAGGGCCCGAGGCTTGTCCCGGAGCCAGACGGAAGTCCGCGGAGGGCCAGGGACAAGCTCCATCACGGTAGGGCCCAGAGCAAACTGGCAATGCGGTGCCCCCGCTCAACAATTACGAAGAAAGTGAGCGTCTGAGCAAGACGCTCCAGGGCTTGTCTGGTCACCCGCTTGTGTGGCTGGCCCTGGAGCTCTTGGGTCTGCGGGCACCAAGTTCTGACTCAGAACAGACAACAGCTGCAGGTGAAGCAGGAGACTAGTCAGGAGGTGACCGGGAGACTGGTCAAGAGGTGAGGACGTTCACCCAGGACACAGATGACAGTGGCCAGGGCCCTGTCGGGAGCAGAGAAGGTGAGGCTGCCAGGCCGAGTGCGTCCTGAAGGCAGGGTCACAGCCGAAGGGATGGTTTGGACTTGCACGTGAGGGTGCGAGGGAGAGGTTGGGACCAGCTGCACAGGCGGGGGCCACTGCTGAGCTGGGATGGCGGGGCAGGGTCCCCCACACTCCTTCCCCAGGAAGCGTGCACATGGCCACCACACATAAGGCCACGGTCACATGCAGTCACTCTCCTCGCAAGCAGGGTTGGCCTTGCCCCTGTGATGCCCACACCCAGGGTCCTCAGCCATGAGGCTCTTGGCACGGAGGGTCTTACTCCCTTTGGCGTGGGGAGCTGGTGAAACCAACGCCCGCTGCAGCCATGAGCAACTGCCCCAGTGACCGCATGACCCACGGCACACCGGCCCGTGCAAGCAGGTGGGACGACCTCGAACTACCCACACCAGGAGAAGGCAGCTCCAGGCAGCCAGAACCTCCCTTACCCAGGCCCTGCCCTTCCTTAGGGTCCAGCTGGAGGCCAAACCGGTGGGACTTCATTGCCCCTGTAGGCCCCGCCCCCTGGGGGCTGGGGGAGGGGCAGAGGGGGGAAGATGCCAAGGGTCTCTCCCGGAAAGGCCACCCATGATGTGTCTCCCAGCCCTCAGCCAGGCCCCCCATCTCACACTCTGCCATCCCATGCTGCCAGCTCCCAGGGGCCAGGGGCACGGGCCTCCACCCGGAAGAGGCCACGGCAGAGGCTTAAGGCAAAGGGAGGCCAAGCCCCCAGAGCCGGGCTACCCATGGCCACCAGCAGCCTACTCGGCAAAGGCCTGGAAGCCACAGACGCTTCCAAACAGCCTCGGGCTGCTTCAGGGCTGGGCTGGCCATGTCGCTAGGGGGGAGAATAATAAACACCCCAGACTCGTCCCCTTGACCCGGCCGGAAGAACCACCAGTCCACAGGTGAGGAGGGGTAGAGGTGGAGACGCCCAAGGAAGGGCAGGGGGTGCGGCGCGCTGGGAGGCGCAGACGAGGGACAGCGGGAGAGGAGGCAGGGACAGCGGAGGGACTGCGGCGGAGGGAAATGAGAGAGGAGGAAGACGGAGGGAGGGACGGCGGGAGGAGAGACCAGGCCAGAGGGAGGCGGCGGGGCGGGAGCGCCAGGCCCGGAGGGGGAGGGAGCGGCGCTTCTGAATCAGCGCTCGCCGGGGGCGGCCATGGCCGTGCCGGTGCCGGGGCGGGGACCCGGGCGCCCAGGCCTGCCGCCCCACTCCGCAGGCCGCGTAGACACGCACCCGGCCGGGCCTCGTAGACGCGCGTCGGGCGGCCCCTCCCGGCCTGGCGCAGACCTGGGCCGCCTCCGCGGCGGCGGGGACCGGCCTGGCCAGGTGCACCGGGCGGCCCCCGCCCCCGCGCCTTTGTCCGGGCCCTGCCGGGACCCCGCTGCCCTGGCGGCCCCCCGTACCCCATGCCGTCCCGCGGGCGCGCAGGTGCGGGCGGTGGGAGGCCCCGGCCCCTGCGAGCGCAGGGCCGGCGCGTCTTACCTGCGGCTCGGGTTGGGTCGCCGGCTCGCCCTCTCGGTCCCGGCTCGCTGGCTGTTTATGGTCCCGGCCCTCCCGCCCGGCCGGCCGAGCGCTGTGGGCGGGCCGCGCTAGGACATGCCCGGCGCGGCCCGCACGCTCGCCGCAGCCCAGCCGAGCCCACGGGCAGAGCGGCCGCCGCGGCCTCGCGCGCGCGGTCCTGACGTCTGCGGGCGCCCGCCCCCCCGCCCCGCCCGCTCGGCGGCCCCGCCCCGTCCGCCCCACGACCGCCCCGCCGGAAGCCAGGTTGGGGCGGGCCCGCGGCCGCCAGGTGAGCGCGCCTCCGCCAGCCCGCCCCGCTGAGCCCCAGCACTCCTCGCAGACCCGGCTCCTGCGGCCGCGGCCCGGCCCCCGGGTTCTGCTGGTACCCGGCCCTGCGTGTCGGGCGGAACCGGTGACCAAAGTGGCGCAGCGTCTGGGCCCTGCGCCCGCAGGTTAACGCTTAACCACGCTCCGGAGCCTGAGGCTCAGCCGCGCCCTCGGCCCCCAACCTTTGGCCCGGGTGGCCCAAGGGCGGCGTGGAGGGTGAAGGAGGTAGGTCGAGTCCCAGACACCCGCCCCCAGCGCCGGACAGGGCGAGTGTGCTGCCGACCCCGAGCGCCCTGGGCCGGGCCGGGGCCGGATTGTGGGGGTCGCCGTCCTACCTGGACGCCCTTGGTGGGCCAGAGCGTGCGGAGCGGCGGGGCTGGGAACCCTGGGCGCACAGGGCTCCTGCGTACCTGCTCTCGGGCTGCCCGCCCCCCGCGGGCCCCGCTGCCGAGGTACCCGGGAGGGGATTAACGCGGGGCGGGGGCAGCGTGGGGTGGGACACGCTGCGGTGGACGACCGCTCTGAGGGCAGCCTGCCTTCCGAGTGAGGGGACTGGGAAAGGGGCGGGAAGTCCCGGGAGACGGGGTAGGGGCGCGCACCAGGCCTCAACCCGGGGAGGAGTCTAGGCCTTGTCTTGTGGGCCATTCCTGGCTGCGACAGTGCCCGCCATGCCATGCACCTGCTCGCCACCCCGCGGCGTCTCTCCACAACCTCGGTGCCGGCCCTGAGCCGGGTGGGAGGTGGAGTCCGTCAGGTGCACCCTGGAGTACAGAGGGGAGCGTGCAGTAGAAGCCCACCTGGGCGGGGAGAGGGCGAGGAGTGTGCCGGGCAGCAGACGCTCTGTGCTGGCTGCAGGAAGGACCTGTGAGCTTGGATGGGGGGCCGGAAGAGTAGGGCCAGGTGAGACCTGTAGCCAGGTGATCCAGGTGTTCGGACTTCATCCCAAGGACAATGTGGCACCAAATGAGGCTTGATGCCAGCTGAGATCTGCTCAGATGAGGGTTTTAGAGAGAGAGGACAAGGTCTGGGTGTCAGAGTGAGTGGGTGGGGGTGGCCAGGTATCTAAGCAGAGGCCTAGGCTGGTAGAGGTGGGGGCAGAGGAAGGAGAGATGAGGGCAGATTTGGGAGGAAGGGTAGGCAAGGACTGGTGCCTAACTGGGTGGGGGAAGGGGGCCGTGTGTTCTCAGTCTGCCCCTCCAGGCCCACTGGCCCCTGTGCCAACACCAGGTGGCCCCACCCCCACCCCATCTACTTCCAGGAGAGTTTAGGGAACTTCCCCAGCTCCCCTGCTGCGGGAGCACCCACCTGCCCTCTTCCTGAGGCCCCAGCCCTGCCCATCCCTTTTTCCTGCCCTCTCCAGACTCCAGGACTGCCCACCCCAGGGGGGGCCTCACCATCTCTCTTGGCTTTGTCTACACCTTGGTAAATGACCCTTCACAAAAGTCACTTTCTCTCTTTGCCTTCCTTCTGCCAGGACCCTGACTTCCTCCAGGGTGAGGGAGAGGGGAGCAAGGATGTGTCCAACTTCTGCCCCGACGCAGCCAGTGCATGTGGCTGTCACAGGCTGGGAAAGCAGGCAGAGAGGTCAGCAGTTGAGTTTGCCGCAGGGGTGGAGAGCTGAGTACACGCAGGTGAGCCGTCCAGGGGCACCTGGGAGCCCAGGACTGAGCTAGAGGAGCAAGTGTGGGTGACTCTCAGAGCCACGGGCATGGGGGGGGCGGGATAGAGAGGGTGACACAGACCAAGCCTGGAGCTCAGAAGAGACCAGAACAGTAAAACCAAGGAGGGCTGAGGCCCAGTTTCCCAAAATTGACCCACCTGTGGAATGCATCCCCAGTACAAATTGTTACAGGGTGTGTTTTATAACTAACACGAACAATTCTGAAGTCCGTGAGGAAATTAAAGGTACGAGAAGAATTGTCTGAAAAGACGTGAATAGACCCATCTGCAGGGGACATGCACAAGTGGCCGACGAGCTTGTAAAAAGATCGCTGGGGAGACGCGAATCAAAATCACAACGGGGAGCCAGGTCACACTGAGGGACACTACGTCCAAACAGCCCAAACAGGTGCTGGCGAGGGTTGGAGAAACTGGACCCTGACGCCCTGTTGCTGGGAATATAAAGTGGTTGAGCCACTGTGGAAAACAGGGTGGCAGGTCCTCAAAAACAATTGAAAAATAGAATTACCATAAGATCCAGCAATTTCACTTCTGAGAATATACCCAAAAGAATTGAAAGTGGGGACATGAACAGGTTATCTGGGCACCCATGTTCATGGCAGCACTAGTCACAGTAGCCACGAGATGGCAGCAACCCCAGCGCCCCCCACAGATGTGTAAACAAAACGTGTGTGTGTGTGTGTGTGTGTGTGTGTGTGTGTGACGGAATGCCATTTAGTCTTTAAAAGTAAAGAAATTCCGACACATGCTGCAGTGAGCATGAACCTTGTGACATTACGCTAAGCAAAATAAGCCGGTCCCAGAAGGACAAATGCTGTATGATCCCACGTATAGGAAGCCCCTGAGCCGTCAGAATCAGAGACGCAGAAGGTAGAGCGGTGGGTGGCTGTTTGATGAATCCAGTGTCAGCTGGGAAGATGAAGAGCTCTGAGAGGGGCAGTGGCGGCTGCACAACAATGGGAATGGACTTGGTGCCACTGAACTAACTGTTCACTTAAAATCAGTTAAAATAGTATCTTTTCTGTTACATATATTTTGCACAACAAAAGAAAAGAATGAATAGCCTATAACATTCTGAAAAGGAAAAAAGAAGGCCTCATCCCTGCCAGAGAGGAGAATCTGTCCTGGGGCCAACCAGAACATTTTGGTACAGGCAGTTGACACACAGATCAGAGGTCTGTGTGGTCATTTGGCATGTGATCAATTGGGCACTTAAAATCCACGGGGAAAAGGGCATTATTTAATAAAGAGTGTTGGAACTACTGGGCAGCTGCCTGGAAAAAACATCACGTCGTCAGGCCCCGTCCCACTGCTCACTCCAAAATAAATTCCATATGGGCCAAAAATATAAATGCAAAAAAACCAAAGCCACAAAGTCATCTGAAGAAAACACAGGAGCCTATTTAAAAATCTCGGGGTGAGGAAGGCCTTTCTCAGCATGACACAAAAGCAGAAGCCACACAATTTATTTTGAAAAATTTAATTACAAATGGCAACATTTTGCCTGGACAACGACATCTTTAAAATCAAAGGCTGTGCCATAAACTGGGGGAACCTATGATGACGCAACGCCCCCCCCAAGGGCGGAGTCTCCTAGTGAGCTGTCCAATAAGCACAGACCTTTGGTCCCCACAGGTGCCTTCAGCTCAGACGCTTCACCTGCCCGTGATCCTGTGGCCTGGAGGTGCCATTCCTGCCTGTCAGACGTGTGGACACTGAAGGTTTTGATGAGAGATGGGGAAGGGAGGACGCACCCGGTGCTGGCGGGAGTGTGGGTGAGTTTGGGGTGTGGATGAGGGCTTTGTTTCCACCGTACCTCGGTGCTGCTGGGATTTGTTAAGTGAGGAAGCCATGTTAACAATGACAACATTTACCGTATTCTTTAGGGAACAGAGTCAGGAGGGGGTGGGGGTTCCCCTAACCAAGTAGCAGAGTCAGGGAAGCCCCAGCAGGTCTGATGGGCTTAGGGACAAGGTGCCACAGCTTCAGGGCTGGCAGCGCCTGAGCCGGTGCCCGGGCTGGAGGCAGAGTGTGCAGGTGCCTCCTTCTAGGAGTAGGGCGGGACCCAGCGGGGTCAGAGGCCAGGCCTCCGGCACACCCGGACCCCAGCCCCAGTGCCCTGCAGCTCTTCAATGCCACCAGCCTGCAGGTGGGCTAAGGCTCTTCCTGAACTCCATTCTCTGCTCTCCCGAATTTGGTTCAGGGGTCTCTGGTCAAATGCATGGAAGCTGAGCCCCCACCAGGCACCCCGTCCTCCTGGAGCGGGTTCGTGGGTCTCCCTAGTGTCCCCTTGTGCCTGCATTTCTGCGTCCACTCCTTCATCTCATGCAGCAAACGCTCCCAGGCTTTTACTGGGAGGACCGGGGCGTTTGCTGCTAGTGGAAGGAGGAGGCTTGGTGCTGGCAGATAGCCACGGACACAACCGGGACACAGCGCCCACTCTTCCTCCCCTGTCTGTGCTGGCCTTGCGCACCTCTGCTGGTGACCAGAAGCCACAGGTCAGCTGCAGCCAGGAGCTGGGGCATCTGGGGGTGAGGACAAGCAGCACTTCCCTAGGAGCAGGCCTGGAGCGGGCCGACTCCTCGCACTTTGAAAGTGTCCTCTGCATGGCTACCCAGGTCTCTGCAGGCCTGTCCTGCCCAGGGAGGGCAGGGGTCACCTGCAGCGCCTGTGACCCCTCCTGGGACAGTCCCCAGTGGGGTTGGTCTTTCTCTGCAGGCCACCGGCCCAGGCAGCCGTGGCAGGACAGGGCTCAGGGAGGGAAGCTGGCCTGGGCAGGGGCCAACCTTCAGGCCTCTCTTGCCCAGCAGAGGCACGAGGGGGGGGGGGCTGGCTGCTCTCCCAGCCTGGCTTGCTGCCCTCCCTGAGACCCAGGACTCGGCCCTCCTGCCAAGATAATTATCCACAAACGGCAGGAGGGCCCAGGCCCTTGAGGGCACTGCCTGCCTGCATTGTGTCCGCAGCTAATTAGCGCCCAGCTGAGACCCAGGGCAGCCGGCTGGCCAGGGCGGCGGGGTGCCCTGCTCTGGGGTGCTGCGCTCACCCCTTCCAGGCCTGCCGGGGGAGCAGCGGGGGACAGCTGAAAGGCTCCTGGGCTGTGTCACCGCACCCCTCTCTGAGCCTCCTCTGAAGGGCAGCGTCTGCCTGCAGGGCTCACCCTGAGACTCGGCCGGAACCGCAGAAGGCAGAGTGTCCTTCCCCGGTGCCCACCCCCATGCTCCCCACACTCACGCCCCGAGCTCGGTGGCCCCCAGTGCTCCCTGCCTCACGTACCCCAATGGGTAGATAATCCGATGAGAAGAGACTTATGGAGTCCCCCTCTCTGCCTGGGTGGGAATCCTCTCCCTGCGGGTCCACTGGGGAAAGGGGTCTTGCTCTGCTGCGGATCACCATCCCGCTTCTCACCTGGGACCTGCTCTCAAGGCCACCTGCCTCGAAGCCTTTCCTTGCTCCTTCCCACAGAGCCAGGCCTCTCAGTCACCTCTGGAGAGCTCCTGGTCCCGTGGTGGCCTGAGTGTGTAACTGGCGTTCAGCTGAGGAGACGTGAGAGGAAGTCTTCTGTCGCAGGGAGGTGTGGGTGTGAGAGAGGGTGGCTCTAGAAGTGCTGTTCCCACCATGAGGAAGTTGTGTGAATGAAGACAGTCTGCCCTGCACTTATGGCCTTTGCTGGGTGAGGACGTGATGCCTGGAGCCGCAGCAGCCCTCTTGTGACCACAGGAAGTCAGGAGCAGAGCGGAGAAGCCGATCCCGGTCCCTGCTGCAGAGACCTGAGCCCAGCACAGACAAACTCCCTACTCTGGTTAAGTGAAACAAAAAGCCCTCAGTGTAGTTTAAGCTACTTTGGGTAGCATGTTCTGTTAATTGCAGCTGAAACGTCCATTTAGCACCATAGGGTCTGATCAACTTTCTCCAAATTCTGTTCCTTGGAATAGTGGTAATAAATGTTTCTTTTAAAAGCCTCTGTTAGTGAAACAGACATTTTTTAATTAAATAAAAAAGGCGTTGCCCGGCACTCACCCCCACGCCTGGCAGTGGTGGCCACTGACCACGGAGCCAGGGGCCCCCCTGTGAGGTGTCTTAGCCCCAGGGAGGGTGAAATCAGAGGAGGCGCCTTTAAACCTCCCTTAGGAGGGGCCGGTGCCAGAAAACGCCACGGGGAGGCCGAGCTCTCAGGAACCCCCATGCGCCGCCCGTCCCAGCAGCGCACGCGCCCACGGCAGCGTGGGCTGGGACGGACGGAGGCGCGTCCACGTGGGGAGCCTTTCTGTCGCTCAGCCTCCCAGCTCTCTCTTGGGACGTCCCTGCGGCCCCTGGAGTCAGACAGGAACAGGGACACCGAGGGGGTGAGGCTGTGTCCGCACCCTGTTCTTTCCACGTGCTTCCTCCGGCAGTTCTTCCCTTTGGAATGTGAGTTCTCGCGCATGCGCACGCACAGCGCCACCGGAGCGCACCTGCGGCCGCCCTGTCCGCTGTCCTCCCGCGGCCTGGTGGGCGCCGCAGCGGTCTTTTCATTCACGCCCGGCCAGGACCTGCCTGGGGGTTTTCTGAGTGTACCCCCCGGGAAGCAGCAGAGGGGAGGGGGTCCCAGGAGGGCGGCACAGCCCGGTGCCCTCTGATGGCCACCTGGATCCTCCTGTGGACTCTGCAGCGGGCCTGAGGACACACCGGGCGGCCTGTGTTGTTCAGCGTGGAAAGCCCACGCTCGGAGTCGCGGGGGAAAGCAGTGGCTGGTGACAGCCGAGAGGGTGACACCCACAGTGTTGGGTGGCCACTGAAACATTTACTTTGGGAGGCCAAGGCTGGAGGATCGCTTGAGGCTGCATTGAGCTGTGATGACAACGCTCCATTCCAGCCTGGGCCACAGAGTGAGACCCTGTCTGGGGGAAAAAAACAACACAAAAAAATAACTTATTCATTGTCACACCTCACAGACACGGTGCCACGTGCAGGCGTGTGCAGCTGCTGGGCACCAGGGCGGGCAGGATGAAGTGCCGTCCACTCCCTGTTCGGCAAGGCTGCGTCGGATCCTGTAATGGACGGCTGCAGAAAAGTCTTCTGCTTCATTCCTAATCAAAGGCTTCTTAACATGCTGAAATGTCACCTTTTTAGTAAGCAAAGTGCCTTTTTATTTTTCCTAAAAAAATAATATTTTATTTTATGTCTCAGCTTTTACATTTCTTTTGCAACACTCTACATTTCCTCTCGTGTTTTTATTTTTTAGGGACAAGGTGTCGTCACTCTGTCACCCAGGCTGGAGAGCAGTGGCATCATCGTGGCTCACAGCAACCTCAACTCCTGGGCTCAAGGGCTCCTCCAGCCTCAGCCTCCCGAGCAGCTGGGAACACAGGCATGCGCCACTGCACCTGGCTCTCTTGTGTTTTTTAACTCACGCACATGCACTCTTCATACAATTTTTAAAGTTTGATAAAAGGTAATGTATTTTGAGATTGCAGCAGCAGCGATTATAGATATGTCTCGTGGTCGCCTACCTTCAGACAGCCTGTGCCGTGCTGAAAAGGCCAGGCCGGCCCCCACCACTCGAGGGACGCGGAGCCCAGGCGTCCGCTCCGCGTCTCTGCCGGGCAGCGCCCCCAGCCGCCCAGGGTCCAGACCGTTGTTTGGTGACTTCGACAGGTGTCGTGACGCTCATCCATGTTTCTCCATACCAGGCACATTTGCCGCAGGGACCTGCCTCTCCTGGTTCTGTGACTGGAAGAGGGAAGCATTCGTCAAAACGCAGCGAGGTCTCATGATCTCAAACTGGACCCAAATCCAGTAAGAACAAATCAGATATGCCGGGTGCAGCGGCTCACGCCTGTCATCCTAGCACTCTGGGAGGCCGAGGCGGGAGGATCACTCAAGGTCAGGAGTTGGAGACCAGCCTGAGCAAGAGCGAGACCCCGTCTCTACTAAAAATAGAAAGAAATTAGCTGGACAGCTAAAAATATATAGAAAAAATTAGCCGGGCATGGTGGCGCATGCCTGTAGTCCCAGCTACTCGGGAGGCTGAGGCAGGAGGATCGCTTGAGCCCAGGAGTTTGAAGTTGCTGTGAGCTAGGCTGACGCCACGGCACTGTAGCCTGGGCAACAAAGTGAGACTCTGTCTCAAAAAAAAAAAAGAGCAAATCAAAGACATCCTAGTGAAGATGCGTGAGCGAGGCCTGGCGGGGCGGGAGGGGGGGAGGACCAGACGAGCTGACGTGCTGTCGGGCCTGGGCGCACCGTGTGCTCAGCACACCCTCCCTCCCTCCGCGTGGACGAGCGGTTTGCAGACTGTGCAGGCAGAGGACGGGGCCGAGCCGAGTGTGAGACTGCGTGCAGTAGCCATCGGCAGGTGACTCAGACGGGCTTGCGTAAGGATCTTGCTCCCAGGTCACATTTTACGAGGAAGAGGAGAAAAGAAAAATAAATTATCTATCTTGACATGCTGTCTTTCGTAATAGTTCTTAATAAAAATAAATGCAACTTGATTTCTCTCATTCTTCTGTTATAAAGTTTAAGACATACACATATATAATTTTTTTTTTTGAGACAGAGTCTTACTCTGTTGCCCAGGCTAGAGTGACGTGGCATCAGCCTAGCCCACAGCAACCTCAAACTCCTGGGCTCAGGCAATCCTCCTGTCTCAGCCTCCCAAGTGGCTGGGACTACAGGCATGCGCCACCACGCCCGGCTAATTTTTTTCTATATATTTTTAGTTGGCCAATTAATTTCTTTCTATTTATAGTAAAGACGGGGTCTCGCTCTTGCTCAGGCTGGTCTCCAACTCCTGACCTTGAGCGATCCACCGGCCTCAGCCTCCCGGAGAGCTAGGATTACAGGTGAGCCACCGCACCCGGCCCACATATATAATCTTAATGATTTCTTGTATTAATCAAATCACCCAAGAGATCATTTTTCCTGTGTGCCAAGAAAATCTACAATACCCATTATCGTTTATTAGAGCATCTCATTTTATGATAATCGTGAACCTCCCCGTGCCCTGAAATGAGGCAGAACTTGTGCGTGCAGCCGTGGGGAACGGCAAGTGTCAGGCAAACTCCTGCACCAGAGGCGGCTCTCAAAGCTGGATTGTGACAAGCAGCTCTTGGAAGCTTCTGGAGAGCGATGGGCCAGCCGGGACTTGCGTTGCGGGAGTCCTGAGGAGAGGGAGTCATGTCCACACGAGCCTGGAATTCTCTGCCATTTTCCTCCCCCGGGAAATTCGCTCTGGGTGTGCCTACAGGCCCCGCAGAAGTGGCAGCTCGGGGCTACCGGCGTTCTCAGGTACAGGCTGCCAAGCCGGGTGTCAGGTCGGGACCTCCCGCCCGGCCTTCTGTGCCTCCTTCCTCTCGGGTACCTGCCAGTCTCTGGGCTGTTGGGGCTGGGACGCTCAGAAGTGAAGCAAAAGTGGCAGCTAAAAGCCTAGAAGCTACGCAGAATTTTAGCAGCGCGCCGGCGCTGGGGAGAGACGGCAGCGAGGCCTCCAGGAGAGGCGACCTGTAAACGCTCGACTCTGGAAGGTGGCGCTCCAGCGGACTAGACAAAATAATCTTCCCGGCCGGGCGCGGTGGCTCACGCCTGTCGTCCCAGCACTCTGGGAGGCCGAGGCGGGCGGATCGCTCCAGGTCAGGAGTTCGAAACCAGCCTGAGCAAGGGTGAGACTATAAATAGAAAGAAATTAATTGGCCAACTAAAACTATACATAGAAAGAATTAGCCGGGCATGGCGGCGCATGCCTGTAGTCCCAGCTACTTGGGAGGCTGAGGCAGCAGGATCGCTTGAGCCCAGGAGTTTGAGGTTGCTGTGAGCTAGGCTGACGCCACAACACTCTAGCCCAAGCAACATAGTGAGACTCTGCCTCAAAAAAAAAGAAAAAAAAAGACAGGATGGAGACTTTTACCAGAGGCTTAGAATCTATAAAAAACAACCAGATGAAAATTCTTGAATTAAAAATAAGATAACTGAGGCTGAGCAGGGTGGCTCCCACCTGTAATCCCAGCACTTTGGGAGGCCAAGGTGGGAGGATTACTTGAGGCCAGGAGTTTGAGACCAGCCTGGGCTACATAGCAGGATGCTGTCTACAAAAAAAAAAAAAAAAAAAAACCCACAAAAACTGAAATTAAGAACTTGACAGAATGTTTGATACCTGAAAAATAGAAGATTTTACATTTTAAATCCGTGATTGTCTCCTTGTTCCAGTCTGAATATTTTCTACTGCCCCAGACTAGAGCAGGGGAGACAACAGGAGGCAAAAATTATTTCTAAACATGAACGTGGGATCCGTGGATCCGTAGAAAAGGTCGGGCACACGTGCAGCTGGCGACCCGGAAGGTGAGAAGGAAGAAAGCGCAGAAGCCATACCCAAAGAGGCAACGAGTGGAAACTTTCCAAAACTAGCAAAAGATGTCAACCACAGATTCAAAAATCCCAGTGGATCCCCAGCAAGATCAACAAAAAGAAAACACACAGAGGCACATCTTAATGAAATCAGGGAAAACCAAAGGTGAAGAGAAAACATTAAAATCTGCCAGAGGAAAAAAGACACATTAATTTTTCAAGGACCAACAAGGAAACCAAGCAATACATTTTCAACAAGAATGTCGGAAGCCAGAAGACAGTACAATGACATCTTTTAAGAGCTGGAAGAAAACGTAGCATTCTATACCCAGAATTCTATTTCAAAATAAAGATGGCAGAAGCATCCATGGGAAGTGAGACGCTTTGTCTCTAAGGAAGGAAAAACAGAAACCCGTTTCCTTTCTCATCACTGAAAAGGCGCAGAACAACCACCACGTCCGAGCGATGAACGCCCCTGCGGCCCACCGCCCTTTCCACAGACCCCTGCACCACGAGGACCTGGCCGTGGGCCGTGCACAGCACAGCCTGCAAAACCTCGAGGCTCCCAGGGGTCAACGGGACCGTCAGTGCTTCAATCAGACGATAAAAGCAACAGATTGAAAGACGTCAAACACATTCA